TCCAATTGAGTGCAGAGGCATTTTTTTTCCTGGTTCGTTTGAAACACGCCCCATCATCACAGCTCTATGGAGCAGCATCAGACTCATTCTGACTAGAATTGAGTCGGACTACGTCAGGCTACCGATTTAGCGGCTGATAGTCAGATTTGAAGCTGATCTTTTCCAAAGACCTTATCTACCTGCAAAGGTCAGAAAATCAATGATTTATAACTGAAAGTGGTTATTTCAGAAGTTTTTATTGTTTCAAAGGTACTGATTAATGCATTTCAGTTAGATAGGATATTTCAGAGGTTTAACTAGTTTCGGTTATTTAAAAAAAAAAATGATGTTGATGAAAATTGGAATCAGCATTTCTGGCCTTTTAAAGATCAGGAATCGTTGATCGTCCAGAAACCGGAAATCGGTGCACTGCTATTTATTTTCTGTTAGTTTCTAATCTACAACAAACTATTGAACCTGGAACTCGTTTCCCCTTGTTTTTACGTTATTGTCATTAAAAAAATGATTTTTTTTTTTATAGGTAATAAACCAATAGAAAAAGTTAGATCAAAGTTTTTCTCAATAAATGAAGCTTAATCAACATTTATAAATCCTAAAATGAAAAGCTAGATGGGAATAGACTTACATGCATCCAGAAACCTTTAATCCTGCAACACGAGTCTTTTCAGCTCTGGGTCTCATGCAGTCTGGAAAAGTAGTTATGTTTTTATGTAGGGGGGGGGACAGAGCAGGGTTTTATTTCTAGCCTATAGAAATGGGAGTCCTTCAGAAGTCTCTGTGGTACTTGATCTGCATACCATTCCTGATTAAAGAGTAATTTCTATGCATATGCTTAAAGAGCAGTAAATTATTAAACTAATTCTTCCCTGATCGTTTTCACATGTGGTGTTTATTTTATTGGACAGAGGCTGATATTTTCTCCTAGCGGAGGTTTCAGCTGTAATGTGCTGCTCCTACAGGAGGTTAAACATGAGAAGGAAGCTACTGTGATGTTCAGATAAACACCTAAACCAAAGATGCTAAGGTTGTTTTTTAAAATATCTGATTGGATTCATGCAGTCACAGTCATTCTCCTGCTTTGGTCCTGATAATGTTAAACTGCTAGCCCTACATTATTTTATTTTATTCCCTTTTCCACTATCACCATATGACCAAGTTTAGTTCTCTTCGATTTTAAGGCGTTTTTATCAGTGATGCTAATGTTGAATTATTACCATTTTAGTACCAGTCTAATTTGTGGTTCCAGTTAAGGATATAAACATTTTTCAACATATATCAGTCAGTTTAACAAAATGGCGATGGACCGTTTGCGCATACTGTTAAAACCCAATAAGGTAAACATGCTTGTTTTCTTTTTAAAATGTTTGTCCAATAAGAATAGTTTTGACTAAGTTATGAGACATCATAGTTTTTGATCATTATTCATTTGTTTGTCTGAAAATTGAACCGACTGAGGCGGATATTTTCTTTTTTTGTTGGAAAGCGCGCAGCTACACCAGAGGATTTTCCTTTATTATTTTTTTTGTTTAATTTTTTATTTGTTGCATTAAAATCTAATCTGAACAGATGGAGGGGCCTCTAACACACTTAAAAAATGCCTTTCTTTGGTTCTGGTGTTTAAAAAACAACAACAAATAAAGCTAGCCTCTGGTTTGGATCAGTTATTTCTTTATGTCTCAAACTGCCGCTGGAAGAGGTTTGTGTACGCCATTAAAAACAGTTTGTGTTTATTTATTTTTTTGTCGTGGAAAGCTTCTTAACCCGAAAAGAATGGCTGACTTATTGTATCATTGATGGTCGATAGATTTGTCAGATCGCCCAATCTGAATCCCAAAAGTTTCAAGTCATGATAAAAAGGCGACGTCAGATGATGGTTGGTTTTTATTAGGTAGGGGGATTCACAATATGTTTTAATAACTATATCTTAAATGTCAAAGATAACATGATTATCTTTGGTTTATTTTAGTATATGAGCTCTATTTCCCTTTTATCACTACTACCAACTCAATTTACTAGTGGTCCGTTTGTTTGACTTGATCCATAACTATTTTAGTTCCTACCTGCTTGTGGTTTCAACCGTGGAAACGCAACATCAGAGCATCGCTGCTCACTGATTGGTTATGTGGTGGTGTCTCTATTTAAATCTTATTTAAATAGCTTATGTCTTCAGCTTTTACCTATTTTTACACTGGACTTATTATATATAAAAGCATTATCATAGCAAGGAAGCAGTGGGTAGCATTAGCTTACTTTCACATGTGCTGTAGCTTGTATTGTTCCATTTGATACCACATGGCTTTCCTGTATCTGCTGGTCTTAACCAGTGTGCTTCCTCTAGCTGCCCACAGGCTTCTCCCCGGCCATAAACCGAGTAGCAGGTTCCCCGTTGTTGGGTTTTTGTCACCACAGATTATGTCGCTTTAGTTTTTTTGGGAGTGTGTGGTTACCTTGCTGTCAACAATACCACCCATATTAAGATAATACTCCAAATGAGATGGAAAAAGAAAACAAAACTAGTTGTATAGACCAGGCCCAACATTAATCAAGTAGTGTAGGTACTGATTGAAATGTATGTTGCAGGTAATTTCACTCCTAAAATCTAAATGTTACAGAAAAGTTTTCCCATGTCATGATTTTTTTGCTAAACCTTAAAGCTTTGATGAAGAGAAGCTGGGTGAAAAGGCAAAGCTCTTGATTTACAGGTTCTTCTATGTTGCTACCGTCACCTCTGCCATGAAATCTGGATTCTGACCGAAAGATTAAGATCCCGGATACTAGTGGCTGAAATGACGTTCCTCTGCAGGGTTGTAGGACAGTCTCTTAGAGATAGGGCGGGAAGCTCGGCCATTCGGGAGAGGCTCGGAATAGAGCCGCTTGTCTTCCACATCGAGAGGAGTCAGCTAGGTGGCTTAGACATCTTTTTTATCCCTGGAGGTGTTCCAGGCACATCCCACCGTCAGTAGGCCCTGGGCATGACCAAGGACCTCAGGCTTCTCTCAGTAGTGCTGGAGGAGGTGTCTGGGTGGAGGGAAGTCTGGGAGTCTCTCCTGAGACTCCTGTGACCCAGTCGCGGATGAAGCAGAAGACATGACTAGTATGCGTACCTTTAAACTAATTAGCATGTAACAGTTGGTGTTTCTGAGGCAACTTCCCTTTCAGACTCCACTTTTCTGAATATATTTAAAGTCATAGGAAAGCGGCTGTTCCAACCGTTACATTTCCAAATTCTCCCGAGTGGTGCACGACTTTACACAAGTGAA